TGAGTGAGTGAGTGAGAGAGAGAGAGAGAGAGAGAGAGAGAGCTGATAATGTTGACTCTTAATTAAGTATCTAAATACCAAAAACATATATTGAAACATATGAATACATAATTTAATAAGTACTGTATTAGCCTGTTTAAAAGACTTTACTATAATCACATATTATGATAATAATATAGCTATTTAGAATTTAGAATTAGTAATTACCGTAATATTAATTTATGGTTATTATTATTAATGCTTATATTGTATGATAACTTTTTGAAATTAAATTTTTACTATGAAATAAATATAAATAAACTTATAATCTCATACAACTGATGAAAATATTTGAAGAATTAGCTTGCACAGTACAGTATACTAATAAAATAGCTTGAATATTAGTTTGAAGAAAGCAGTTCTGATGTGTTTTTATCAATTATTTGTATGATAGACGACATCGACTCGGTTTCCATGTGTTGTAAAGATAGGTCCGTCCCATTCAGGACAGGGAAAGATGAAAGTGGAGAATATGCAGGACTTCAACGACTTGGCCAGTGTGGTGGCCGTCACCAAAACTTACTGCACTATTGAGCCGTTCATTGACGCCAAATGTGATGTTCACATACAGAAGATCGGCACTAATTTGAAAGCTTATGCGTTAGTGTTGTTTCATTGACACCAATGTGTGCTATATTGCAGTCAATCTAATTAATCGATTCAATTGAATACAACTCTAGCCGTAAGTCAATATCTGGTAACTGGAAGGCAAACGTTGGATCCGCTGTTTTGGAGCAAATCAATGTTAACGAGAGATATAAGAAATGGATGGACGATGTGTCCGAAGCTTTCGGAGGACTCGATATCTGTGCCGTTGAGCTCATTGTGGGAAAGGATGGAAAGGAGCATATTATTGAAGTAAAACTTTATAACACAATATACAGTACAATGTAACCATTAATTACTATTAATTAGTACTCATATTGAAACTAACCATTAGGTGACCGGTTCTGCGATGACTCTTCTCGGAGAGTCTCAGGAGGAGGACAGGCGATCCATCGCTGACTTAGTTGTACAGAGAATGCAATACTTCTGTAGACCAACCATGAGGTGAGGATACAAACAGTAATTGTTTGGTTTCATCTTAATCTTCATTTCAATGCTTTACAGTAAGCGCTCGAGTCTTACCACAGGATATGGAAGTACTGAAGAACAGCCATCAGACTTACCACAACCTCAGACACAAGTAATTGAATAGATTTGAAGTTAAAGAGTTGATTGTATTTGACATTTATTTGTGATCATAAGATGAGCGCCGGTAGAGTTGGAACACAGGGCCAGCAGCCGGTCAATCAACCGCCACAAAGAGGTGCCGCACCTCCACAGCGACAACCATCACAACCAGTACCCCCTCAGGCGGGCCCTCAGACACAACGAAGAGGATCTAAAGATCAAAATGAAGTCAATTCTATATCTGGTGTAACGAATCCATTCTCTCATCAAACCCCAGCAAATGTTGGACCAAATGTTGGTCCAAAGCAGACATCGGTTGTGGAGAACCAACAAAACATAACCCAAAACCAAAACCAAAGCCAAAGACCCACACTCTTCAGAAGGAGTTCTCAAACGGGTAATGAAGAGTCAAAAGGGGATGAAGTGGACGACACGATGAGGAATCTCCGCAAGACTTTTGCTGGAATTTTCGGTGATATGTGAGCCATAGATGATGACTATAGGCCCGTATTATCTCATATACCAATAGTATTACCGGTTATATGATATGATAGCATATTATAATATAAATATATACACTATTATAAGAATTGGATTCATGACTCATTCAATTGGTTATCATTGATAACTTATCAAGTAATTGTCTCATTGTTTTTTGGTTTCAATCTACAAAACGCTTGTGAATTGTTGTTAACATTTATTTTAGTTTATAAATGAATGTCAGATTATTGTTATTAAAAAATATAATGAGTCTAACCATTACTCAAGTGTTTGTGAACAAGTTATTAAAACTACATTTTAAGACAATTTAAGACTGCATTCAGTTTGAATTGCATTTACAATTCAAATGCATTCTATACTCAAATTGAATAATTGGTGCAATTGTTGTGAAATTATTATAAATATAGTCTTAATATAATACAAACTATCAATACAATCAAAATAATTTAACAATTTTCTTATTTAATTAATATTTAAAGCAATAATAATGCAAATTAGGTTTACTTTACTGGTTATGCCATACAGGAGCAGGTGTTTGTGGAGAGATATCCTTCAAATGCATAACAGATTATGATATAGTTTTAAATATAATTTAAATAGCAAGTATACCAATAGGTAATAGGATAATTAATTACTTAGAATTAAGTATGAGTTATAATCAATGCATTTATTTGAAATTTGAAATAAGTTTACAGAAAAAACATATTTAGTTTGAAATTATAAGAAAATCATCAAATTGTGGCCTTTATTTGTCAGTAGATCTTAAAGTCGTTGATTTGTTAATATATTTTACCAATAATTATGTTAACTAATAACCAATAATTTATAAGAATTTATAAGAAATTGTTGTCTATTAAGTCAATCGACACAACAATTTCCAAATCATACACTAAAGAATGTTAAGTGAATAATACTTTAAATCATTAAATATTAAATATGCAGAAAAACAATTGAATGAATTATGAGATTATGTTATTAAAGATCCTTTAAATTGTATTGAAAAAGTGTGATTCGTTATCAATTATAAAATTATATATCAAATATCAATTAAAATAATTATTAAAAACATTGATTCAAACGAATTATATATTTGAATGGATTTGAAAACAAAGAATTTTTGATTTGAATTTTGATTTTGATTTGAATTTTGATTTTGATTTGAATTTTGATTTTGATTTGAATTTTGATTTTGATTTTTGAATTTTTGATTTGAAAACAAAGAATTGCAGCAAATTATCACAAATCACTCCAATCGATGACCTTCTTTCCATTCTTCTTGAGGTAATCATTAGTTAAGGAGAAGTGTTTGCAACCCAAGAAACCTCTATGAGCTGACAATAATTGTACAAAATGTGTAATCAATATGACAAATATCTAATCAAATATATGGGTGCATGGAATACCTGAGAGAGGACTCGGATGCACAGACTTGAGCACTAAATGCTTTTTCTAATAAATTATTAAATAAGTTATCATTAAATTATATACAAGTAATAAATGCACAAATAATGACAATTACTTTGTCAATGAAGGATCCCTTCTTTTGGGCGTAAGAGCCCCACAATAGGAACACAACGGATGAGAGATTAGTATTAAGCCATTTGATGACGGCGTCAGTCAGTTGTTCCCATCCTCTATTTGAATGAGAGTTAGCGTTGGAGGCCCTCACAGTCAGACAGGCATTAAGCAATAGTACGCCTAATAATAAAATTGATAAGTTTAGGACTCAATCATACGGTAAATCATATGGAAAGTGAGAGACCCTGATTGGCCCAACCGGTGAGATCACCGTGTTTTGGTCTCTTGAAGTCAGGGATATCTGACTCGAGTTCGTTAAACATGTTCTTTAAACTGCAATAATTGTACAAAATGTGCAATCAATATGACAAATATCTAATCAAATGTATGGGTGAATGGAATACCTGGGCGGACAGTCCACTCCCTTTCGAACACTAAATGCAAGGCCTAAAGGAAAGGAGTGTTAAAACTTATAAACAAGACATGAGTTGATGCAAAGACTAGCCGTGAGCCTGGTTTGGGCCGTGATAGGGGTCTTGACCGAGAATGACTACTTTGGTCTGTTGGGAAGTGCCTCATATTCATTAGACTTGTTAACCGTTGAGTCATTTGTGATGACTTACGTGTGAAATGTCAGTCATACGAGTCCACGAGAATACCTGATCGATTGGTGGGTAGATTGTGGCCGACTTGCGCTCGGATACCACAAATGTGCTCAGCTTTGGTTAATGTAAATCAATATATGAGTATAAATAACAAACCAAAGACTCATTGAAATACTTGTAGGAAATAGTCTTTGGAGAACTCGGGTTTCAATGCTCTAAACCACGAGTGGCCGATATTAGCCGATAGGACCGGCGTTAGAGCGCATTGCTTAACAATTGCATCACTCAAGTCATACCGAGTGGTAGTCGTAATGACACTTTGCTGTTGAGATCTCTGTTGTTTATCCTTATCCTGATTCTGATGAAAACAAATGTCTTTAAAAGTAAAACTAAAATTTTGATTGAATACCAAAGAAATGTCTCCATTGTCTTCATTTTGGGTTAACTTTCTTTTGACAGATTGGTTTGGTTTGAAGTACGAAGTGATAGATTTTTGAGACATTTTGTTAGTCAATAAACACTTAAACATCAATTTAAGCCTGCAAATAAGTCGAATGAAATAATGAATGATTAAGCATAAAAGCAACATATATTTGTCTGTTATAATTTTGTAATTACGGTAATACTATATAATTTAAAACAATACTATTAGATATCACTCTTGAAAAAATACAATTATAGAGTATGACTTCAAATCTAATTTTGCAAAACATTAACAATAAACATATTTATAATAAATAGAAAGAATGAAATGATTGAATCATTCGCCGAAGTCATCGTCCATTAAAAAGCTTCGTTCCTCTTCAGTGAGTGAACTGAAGAACTCAGTAATCAGATGCTGTTCGGCCTCTAATGCGTTCAATGCAGTCGACGCCTCAGTGAATGTGTCTTTACTGAGACCCGCTTTGTTGAGAACTTCTAATTTCTTGCTAATCATTGGCCATATCATGTCATCGATTGTATTCTTTGCG